TTTTTCTCTGGTAGAGAGAGGTTGTTGTGGTGGCGCGTGTTGCTGATTATTTTTCGTTGTTCATTCTTTCCCCAAAGCAGTCAATGTAGCGGTCAAGGTTAGGGCTTCGTCCACTGTGAGGTGTCCAATCTGATGTTTTTTGGGGCTTTTTGGCATTGATCCTTTCCTGAATGTCGTCAGAGGATGAGTTGTTGTTGGGAGTGGGTTCAGTTTGGTCATGGAAATTTTATTCTTTGAGGTGCAGGCGTTGGAAGAATTCTTCTAGTTCTCCACATTGAAGTATTTTGTTAGGGTATTTTTCTGGACAGAAATTTAGGCCTTTAGAAAGGACAGATTTTTCAGTTTTGGTAAGCTTGTGTGTGGAGAGATTGATAATATTTGTGGGTTGGTTGCTGCTTTCAGTTTCATCAAGTCTGAGGCTGGAATGTTGTAAGGTGTTGGTGTTGTTCCTCTGATGGTTGTTTTGTGGTTGGGGAGCTTGTTCTTGGAGTAATTTGTTCCATTTTTTCTTTTTACGTAGGATGAATGCCGTAGAAAGTTTTTCGTAGTCTCTTTGTATCCACTGTATATTGTCAGGGAACATGCATGGATTTCTGTCTTTTAAGTTGTTGTAGTATATGGTGATTTCCTTCCTGAGTTGGTCTCTTTTGGAGTAGAGTAGGTGAAGTAGATGATTTCTAATTTTCTCTGAAGTTCTTCTGCATAGCTGTGAAGCATATTTGGAGTTGTGTGTAGTAGTCAGGGGATTGTAGATGTTTAGTCCTCAGGGAATTAAGTTGTGTTTCTTGCAAAGGCTTAGAAAATATATGTCGCTGTTGAGTTTGGCTTCTTTCTTTTTCGTGTTGTATAGTTTCCATTTCAGACGACTGAATTCAATTTATACTTCCTTCCCCATGGTAAGGTAAATTTTAGGTCCAACTGTTAACTGGCATGGGAAAAAACAACAGACAGGCATGTGCCCAGATTCCAAGTGTTAAGCCCTGAAGAATGGTCCTTCTTGTAAACTATTTTATATGGGTCCTCCATCTATTTCAACTATTTTATCTAGAACAAAAGGTATAGATTTTTTGGTTGGCGGGGGTTGTGTTATGAGCATTTAAATCAGTATTTACAGAAGAAGATTAATCTCTAACTATACCAGGTGCTAAAATATATTTTAAGTGATGTTTAACTATTAACTACCAAGTTTAAAAAAAACCCAACCTTTTCCTATTCTAAATAAGGCCATGAAAAAAGAGTAAGTTGTTTATGGACATGTACACAGAGGTTCTGGATAAACTAGGTTGCACATGTACAGAGCATTCATGACCAGATGATTCTCCTTTTCTGTACTGTCATGCCCTTCCACAGTACCCTTCATGACTGGCAGATTAAGCTATCTGAAGATGTTCAATGAAGCCAAGATTGCAACAATTTTATTCTCTGTACCCTGCAACTTCTGTACTGTTTTACCTGCAGGTTTATTGGTATATCCACAAGGTGAATCGTGTTTTACCCCATAGTGCACCATTCTGATAAAAACTTTAAGATAATTTAGTAATAAAACACTTTAAAGTAAATGCTTCCTGGATCTAGGCAGCAACCCTACAAATTTGGTCAATTATACTACACAGGGGTCTCCAATTCTTTTCTTGTACATTTCTGCTAACATATATGAAAATAAATAATGTCCTCATTAAAAATTCAAGGATAAATTAACGTGTCTCCATACTAATCACATTCTATGTATATTTTCTTGTTTTAAAATGTTTTTATTTTTAGTAAACAATAGAATATTTGTATGAACAAGGAAAAAACAAGAAAGGTCAAATCTCACCTATTACATTCAGTTTGCTCACTTTGATTTAGAACTGAGCATTACATATAAATTCAACTCTACTATAGTTTTACCATATTAATATTATGTTTAAAGACAAGAAAAATGTGGGTTTCATATTGGAGTTAGGCAGGCAAATTTCTATTCAAGAGCACAGTAATGCTATTTCAATTCAATTTTTCAGTTATGTCATGAAAGAATATATATTTAAAATCATATTTACTTTATATAAATTGACCACTTTAACTCTAGGGCTAAATAACTACACCCCAATACTATTGATTGTGAATGGGTAATTTCCATTGCTGAGTAGCAGAACTCCATTGGAGTTAATATATAAAGAATAATGCAAAATTATCAGAGTATGAGACTCACTTGATTACATAATACGTGTGTTTATATATAAGTTTATTTTTAACAAAAACCCCACTCTTTTTTGTTTGTTTTCCTTTGGGTATTTCTAATGCATACATCAAGATAAATATTTTGGCCCAAATTACCATCATTATTGTTGTTGGCTTCCCTATTGTATTTCTCAATATAAAATAATCTTTCTAATATGCAGGATGCGACAAAAATAGTAAATTAAAATATTATTTAAGCAAGGAAGATCTGAAAACATAGGACGTTTTTTGCAAAAACGTAAAGACTCTGGTGTAACTTTTTTAATGAAAAGGTCTTATCCTGCAAAGGACTGAGAGCTCTGACTTTGAGACAGGAAACTGGAAAGCATTTATTTAAAGGATTGAATCTTAGCCCCTTATAAGGCAATAAGGCTCAGATTCTCAAGTAAATCCGTTATTCCCTTCACTTCCATTGAAATAAATAGAAATTAGGTGTCTATACAGTGGTCTCATCTACACAAGACAATGCGCAGACGACTAATTCTACTGCATATTAGCACAGTGGACAAAACCTGTGCTAATGTGCCAATGCGCAGTAGGTTTAATCTAATGAACATTAACATTGTTAAAATAAATCCGTGCACGCTAATGTGCAGCAGCGCCAATTACAGCTGCAATTACAGTACATCAATGAATGTGTAAACACACCCAGTTACTGGAAAGTGTTTTCCTATTGATGACAAAAGAATAAAAATTTAACACTAAGGATTTTGCAGAATAAGGGGCAAAGTTCTCAAGCCCTATAGGTTTTATTTGAAAAAACTTTTTTTTTCCCTTAATTATCAGAACCTGGTTCTGAACACAC